AAGTATCAATCATGGTATACCTACATAAATATTAATAATTCGTCCTAATAAATAAGTAGGTAATTAGTAATTATTTTTCTACTTTTTTAGTGTAGGTTTTTTGGAGTCGGTTTTAATTTTTTTTATAATGATATTTTATGTTAGTTCGTTCGTTTCAGCCAAATGACGTCCACTGCTGAACAAAGGCCTCCCCCAAGGTTTTACACAATGTACGGTCCTGCGCTCCCGCATCCAGGTTCTTCCCGCGACCTTTACCAGATCGTCGCGGTCCACCTAGTAGGAGGCCTGCCCACGCTACGTCTTCCAAACCGTGGTCGCCACTTGAAAGCGTTAAATTTACTTCATTCATGTTAGTACTTCATCTTATATCTTGAATAGTTTACCTTTACCTTTATTTGGAGGGTGAAGTCGAACCTTAATTTCGAACTCCTCCTATGTTGTTCTTCTGATTAATTTCGTTGCGTTGTTGTTTCAGTCATTGGACCCATGACAGTTTAACTTTCCCCCGGGACAAACTTGACCTTCATTGGTTGGGTTTTTATGGCCGTCAAGCTGTAGATCCTGGCTACACAGGAGTTGCAGTAGTGGGAACGAGAGGTGGAAATAGTCCCGTTTCATATTATATCTTAGCATCATGGTCAGTTTAGGTCTCAAAGGACACTGGACAGCTTTTCATTTTGCCAAATATTTTATACTTTTAAGTCACCATTAATGTAATGAATAATTTTCAAATTAAAACTTAGAGCTATCTTCCCTTATTGCGTTTGCATTAGAGATACTGTTATTATCGTTAGATCTAATATTAGGGTATAAATTAGATTAAACTAAGGTCCAAAACTAATATTTTAATAAAGGACCTACCTGCTGTACCTATGTATTTGGTGTTTAAGAATATATCCGAGTAGATAAAGCAATATTAATTTTTACGCGACTGCAGTAGTCTATGACATGTGACATGACATGAAAGGGTGATAACTACATTAGCTAGAACATCCCGCTCTATGACATGTAATACAGGGTGAAATTTTGTAATGCCACCTGAAGGGAAAGTACTCTTAATACTGTAGATCGAAATTTTTACTCAAAGAAAACAGTCCTTTATTTTTGAAAATAAATAGAACTGCATTCAAAGATTTCCAAAAATTTGCTTGCTACACCCGATAATCGAACTAACTAAAAATTTCACCAATATTTTACACATTGCATGGATCGTTAGGGTTAAGTATAAGGATGAAATCTCTAAAACAAACTTGATAAATCAAATAAAAAGAAAATCATTAAATCTTAAATTATTTACAGAAAATTGCATGGTATGGGTGTAATTTTTTTTTATCCACAACGAGGAAGCCCTTGGCCTTTTCGAAAATTTTCGAAATTCAGAAATATTAAAAATATTAAGATTTAGACTGCCTTTATCCGAAACTATTTCGGTTACCGTAGGTATCCGATTTCGGTTACCTACGGATATTTTTATTTCGGATATCCGATAGTTTCGGTTACGGTTACGGATATCCACAATATCCCTATCACCCTTTTCTCGAATCAAACGTATTTTCAAATACCTACTTTAATGTATAAGTATAGGCACCTCAACAGTCTCTGCCACTTTTTTATTTGCATTTCTATGATTAATTATGTTAGAACAATATTGACGAATAAATAATAAATTTTATTACATACATAAATCGCCAAATCTAGTGCGTAGTAGGTACTACATTATATCGATTTTCATAATTAAATAATTCACAACAAAACTTTTTTTTTCTCTTTACTCCAGGGGTAGATAAGTATTGTATTGAGGAACAAAATGCACAGTGGGTTGACTCTGGGCAGCACTTGGTCCATATTCCATACATGGATTGGCAGTATGTAAATCTTGTAAACCTTAATCTTGTAAAATTTATCCTGAATGCAAAAGTCGCACCAAAGCCTTTATACATACATGCTTAGAAACCTTCACTGTAACCGTACGTAGATCTGACCGCGTTATACAGATGGCGTTAAGAGTCATATTTAGAAAGTAATAACGCTATTAATCGATTAATATTATTCTCCTGTGTGTTGTTAATTAATAAATTACAAGGACGTGACTAATAGAACAATTTAGTAAGTGGATTATAATAATATCCTAATTGAATGTTTGGATATTTCATATAAAATATTACAATGGTATTTTATATTTGTCGGCCGGTTGGTGTAGTGGTTCGAAACGGACTACTATTCCGGAGGTAGTGGGTTCGATTCCCGCACAGTACAAACATTTGTGTGCATGAACATATTTGTTTGTATTGGACTGGGTGTTTTCTACGTATAATAAGTATGTATTTACAAAAAAAAAGTATTTAAGTATGTTTATATCCGTTGTCGTAGTACCCATGTTGTTGTAGTACCCATAGTACAAGCTTTGCTTAGTTTGGGACTAGAAGCGCAGTGTAAAATGTCTAAGGATATTTATTTATTATTTATTTATTTATATTTTTACTGCCGTATAGGTATATTTAACTTTGGGTTTAAAACCATGATTTCTATTCTATTAAGTTCAGCAGCAGTAGGCTACTGATTTTCATTATTAAGTTTAGAGAGTAGATAAATTTTATTATGAGAATGAAGAAACCACTCACTATCAATGTTTGTGAGATGTTCATCTTTGTAGCCCGATAAAAAAGTAGTAACAAACAAACCTTATAAAAACACTGTTATATTAAGTCAGTTACCTTCCTTATAAATATTGTCTTAATTTTTGCTTTCATATACCTAAATACATGGTGATATTGGTGATGTGCGTAGTAAGTACCTATACATAATATTATATTCTATGTAGGAGTCAGAAAACCGGTTACCGAAGTTGTTGATAAATGCAAGACAAAAGACCAGGGCAAATGATCCATCCATTTAAGTAGGTCTAAACTCGGTTGGGTAGCGTTCTGAAACTAAACTACACACCATTTTCTCGCTCAAAACCTTACAGCCTAAAAACTAACCATGGATTTCTTTTTAAACTTTAGTGGCAGTGGACAGAGCACAAATCACGTAGAACTAATAGAGGATGTGGCAGAAAAATTATGAAGTCTGTAAGTAGGTATGCACTGGCAAGTGCAGCATTGAACGTTCGCCCACAGGGTGGACAGACCGTAGTTTCTTCTCAGCACTTGCCATAATAATAATTAATAATGTATCAAGCGCTGGACGCAGGCCGCTACCAATCGATCAACATGGAAAGCATTGGGGGAGGCCTATGTTCAGCAGTGGACGTCCTATGGCTGAAATGATGATGATGATGATGAATGTATCAGGTGAGATACAGGACAAGAGCTTCCTCGCTGTGGATTAAAAAAAAATGTCTGTCAAGAAGCGTTGGTAGACCCCAAAATACAAGGAGACGTCATGTAATGTGCTCCTTTAGGCCTACCTTTTTTTTATTTTGACGTTCATAAGTGCCAATATATTGGTCTATACTGAATATAATTAACTTTTAAAAAAAATAAAACCGACTTCAAATGCGTGAACACAAAAAAAAAACTAAAAATTAAAAATATTGCGTATAAAAAAGTTCATCCCCAATTTTCCACCCTTGTGGGTGAAATATTTTCTTCAAATTCGGATGAAACCACCCTTTTGATAATACCTATTCAACAAAAAAAATAATCGTTCAAATTGATTTATAATCGGCGGAGATATTGCGTATAAAAAAGTTCATCCCCAATTTTCCACCCTTGGGGGTTGTTTTTTCTATTATTAAATTTAAATAGGACCACCCTTGAGGTATTACCTATACGCCGAAAAAAGATTTGTTCAAATCGGTTCATAATTGGCGGAGTTATCACGTAACAAACATAGAAAAAAAACATACGGGTCGAATTGAGAACCTCCTTTTTTGAAGTCGGTTGAAAATAATTTTGATTTTGATTTTCAAGAAACCGCTGGATGTCGACTGCTTCTAAATAGTTAATCTGGAAGTAATTGTAACTAATGAGCCTATGTTTTCAAAGCAGTAGACAATATTATGTGGCCTAAATAATGATAGATAAGCTTCAATTTATAACTTTAAATTATTAAACCTGGTTTTGTTTTAAAAGGAGTTGGCCAAAAAATACCCAGAACCCCAGAAACTTCATATTATGTGCCGTTTTAACAGGCATAGTATGTACATCAAGAACACTGTATACAGTGCGAGTCTTGATAGAGTGCACATATTATGAAAATGGCCGAAACTACTCATATTTATCGAATTAAATAAAACCGTTTAAAAATATACTTATTTGAGATATTTTTTTTTCATTTTTAAAGATTTTTTTATTATTATTTCTTACTACATATAAAGAAAATGCCTTACTATAAAGAAAATTATACCTTTGGAACTAAATGGAAAATGCTTCAGACGAGAAAAAATATCAATGACCCCTAGGTCATTGTCATTGAAGTCTACAAAATGAAAACTTCATGACTTGTCAAGATGTTCTTACACTAATACCCACGATACTTTAACTTTATTGTTAGTTAGTTTATTGTATTATTGTATTAAATTTATTATAGTAATTTAAAGTCGGAGCTTTTACTCTTTCCCCTTATTAATAAAAAGTTACACCTAGGATGAACACTGGATTAAAATGACATAATGCATACTAACTAAATGACAATTAGGTAAGTCAGAGTTCAACTACGGTGTAACTTTTAATAATAAGGGGGTTTCAATTTAAACAACTGTTTACATAATGTCTCAATTTTTATTTCAAATTTAACATACAATAGTCAATTAGAAGGTGCATTCATATAAAAAATTACACACAATATCAGAAATTATAAAAATGATTCGGATTCAAATTAAAATAATAACAAACAAATAAGAACATAGATAATTTATCAATATTACAGTTTAATTAAAAAAAATTATTTATGAATATCACTGAAATATAATTTTATAAAACGCTAATCTCTATTGTATACATTTTTAAAATTGTATATTATGTTTAATTTGTTTTGTTTTATAATCTTCATTAAGACTTACGCCTGCCTACGCGTTACATAATTTGACACATTTTCAGATGACTTTACAGGATTTAAAATCTGTCAACAGTGTCCTCATGCTATTTGGTTACATGGCTCTTGAACGTGAACAGTGTTTTCTCCACCCTCTGGTCCGTGTTACTTATTATAGTCGTGAATGGCGTGATGTCTCCAGGTGGTTTTAATGACTTGCAATCTGTCTTCTTCACCCGTGGCTAGGTGTGTTATTGTCCCTTGTCCTTCCCGTGCCCTTATTGTCACTTAAGCGTCTTCTTCACTCTCTGACTGATAGTCCAACAGTCGTGAATGGCGTAATAAACCACCTGGAGCTGCCTTGAGATGAACCATAATTACGCCCATTTATGTTGATCCGCAGCAGATCAAGAACTACTTTCACTGCAGTTCCAAATCATCACCGATGTTGATGCTGCGGATCCATGCCAGGTCCCAACTTTCTTCGACATTATTAGCTCCAGCAGGGTTTTCTGTGCCCGCACCCGCTGGAGTTGGAACCGGTGGTTGTTGGGCTTGAACGCCATTGACCTGGATGGCGTTCTCTGGTACGTATGGCATCTCAAGGCCTGGAAGCGTAGGCGCATGAGGCAGCATGTGAGGCATAGGCATTGGCGGCATCGGCATTGATGGCATCGACACCGATGGCATCGGCACCGATGGCATCGTCACCGATGGCATCGACACCGATGGCATCGTCATCGATGGCATCGAGACCGATGGCATCGGCATCTCTGCACACAATGCCGGATTAAAATGGCCGTTTTCAATGCCCACCTGAACATACTGCTGACCGTCTTGTACAAATATGGGCAGGTCACCCATATTTGCAGCTTCCACTTCAAGACGGTCTTTCTTCTCCTTCATTCGCCTGTTTTGGAACCAGATTTTGACCGTCCGCTGATTTAAGTTGAGTGTGGAAGCCAGCTCAATTCTTCTGGTACGGTCTAAGTACCGGGCCCTCGCGTACTCTTGCTCCAGCTCCGCCATTTGGTGGCTTGTAAAAGCTGTCCTGTTTCTCTTCTGCTTCTTAACAACGCCATTCACGACTTTGCTAATGGCATTTACAGGCCAGCCTGGCCGTACAAAATAGCCATTACCTCCATTCGGCACATTACACCCACCGTTGGGCCGGAATGGATGTATAATATAATTAGCAGGCCTCACCGTATGGACACCGCTCATGTTTGGCGTCATGTTTGGCGAGTATCCTACGTTGCCATTGGATCCAGTATAGTGAACTCCGTAGGAGCTCACACCATAGCTGGATCCGTTACTCGTCCCAGGCATTGGGATTTGGTGGCAGTGTCCATTGCTGGTGGTCGCCGGCACAGAATACATTTGCTGGCACCCATTCGACGTCACCGGCATGGGCGCCTGTTGATTCAGCCCATTGGACGTGGAGGGCAACGGTACCTCCAGGTAATGTTGCCCGTTGACCGTTGACAGCATCTGGTCGCTTCTGATCGCCTCCGGTATGGTCAGGATCGTATTATTCTCATCGCCCGTTGCGAGCGACGAAAGCGAAGCATCCTGACCATTGGACATAGCTGAAGACGATGACTCCGAAGTCAACAGGTGCAGCGGCTCCGTAATCCATTCTTGAAGCTGTAACAATAAAACAATAGTATTAGATATGCAACTACAATCATGTTTTTCTACAAAGTTCTCTTTTCAACTCTAATCTTAAAAATTTCAAACTTTTTTTTTTTCAAAATCTTATAACGTTTAATTTTCTTTTCAAATAAATGAAACTTACCGTTCCATTCTTGGCAGGTTCTGTGGAATATTTGTTCCACTGCTTTTGATTAATCTCAAAGATATTCTTGTTGGGAAAGTCCAAGTTGATAATAGGAGTGGGTGGCGCAGACATCGTTGAATAAGGTTGATAAATACTGGAGACAGTCGGAGCAACTTTCGTTACAAGGTCTGAATCGAGTATGATTTGAAATGGACATACCCTCATTATTTATAGTGAAAATTTTGTATTTGCAATTACTTAAGGACGAAAGCTCAGTACTTTAATTAGGTAGATCGTTAGACAAACTATTAGGGTAATTAGGGATAGGACGGATTCGTTAAGTTCAAAACAAGTAATTAATGAAGGTTGAAAACAATCCTGTTTTTCGACAAATCAGAAAGTTTTGTTAAGTTTTGATTTCCTTTGCTTTTGTTGTTAATATTCATATTTTTGTATGAAGATAAACAATGGACAATAGGTACCTACTCCCGATCCCGACTACAGCGCTGGGGGTGACATTATTTTTTATTTTGTAAATAACACATATTTAATTTTATAAAAGCAATTTTTAAAGTTAAGTATTTAAGTAATTTTAAGTTTTTTGTAAGTAGATAAAGTTGTATTAATAAATTGTAAGGATGGACAATTATATTTAATGAAATTAATATTTTATATTACACTTACCTAATTGTAAGCATAATCTGTATTTATTTGTTTAGAAATTAATAACATTTATTATTATTATTAAATATTTTATATTTCATTATGAAAATAGTAGGTATAGTTTAATTAAATATATTTACAATTTGTTATTTTAAGTATATTCTTACTTTATACAGCTTTTAAACATTGTACTGTAGTAAATTTTAAAAATGAAACATTGGAAATTATTGTATTTTAAATAAATAGTTTTTTTAAACATAAAATTACCATAAACTCGTATGCATAACGTACTTTAGTTACCAGTTGAAACAAAATAAAAAAAAACAATATTCAATGTTTTGATATTTTACTGTATTTCATATTCAATTTTAAACTCGTATCTTAGCATCATGGTCAGTTTAGATCTCAAAGGATACTGGACAACTTAGTATTTTGCAGAATATTTTATACTTCTGCAAAGTAATCATTACTGTAATGAATAATTTTCAAATTAAAACTTAGAGCTAACTTCTTCTGATCCCTTATTGCTTTTGCATTAGAGATGCTGCTAATTATCGTTAGATCTAATATTAGGGGTTAAATTAGGTTAACTGAAAACTAATATTTTAATTCAGGACATACCTATGTATCTGGTGTATTTATATGACCTTATGTCCAAACTAGCTTTCCGCCCGCGGCTTCGCCCGCGTGGAATTTTGTCTGTCACAGAAAAACTTTATCGCGCGCGTCCCTGTTTCAAAAACCGGGATAAAAACTATCCTATGTTCTTTCCCGGGACTCAAACTATCTGTATGCCAAATTTCATCAAAATCGGTTGCGAGGTTTAAGCGGGAAAGCGTAACAGACAGACAGACAGACAGACAGACAGACAGACAGACAGACAGACAGAGTTACTTTCGCATTTATAATATTAGTTGGGATAGATAAAGTAAGGTAAATTTTTACCCGACTGCAGTAATAAGGGTAGTGCTTAATAATTTTAAGAGTACCTACATTATGGACAGAAATGTGTAGGTCGTATTATTGTAGTCAACAAGAACATTGCGACTTGTTCACAGAATGTCCAGTTTATTTTATAAATTGTAAAAACACAATCAATTTTAGATGTGTGTTCCATATTAAAATTTGTTAGCCTTTCAATTGTAGTTTTTATAAAACTTTGTAATTTTTGCTTTTTTATTAGCACAATTTATAGGTAAGTGCTATTTGCTAATAAATAAGGCTTTTAAGCATTATTTCATGATAAAAAAAACTAACATACGGATGAAGGTGCAGCTGTTGTAAATTCGATATTTTGATCGTTCGATGTTTTGAATTTTCGATGAAACGTGTTCAATATTTTGATTTATTTTCGATCATTTGTTATTAGATATGGCGGAGGAAGCCCCCGTGCAGCAGCCTTACTTAAATTCACGTAGTTACCTACATGTATTAAAAAATATAGTTTTAAAAGCATAGACTTTTCTGTAAATTTAATGCCATCTAGCTGAATAAGCGGCAAACGAAATGGCAGAGAGGAAAATGTTGGAAATCTCGTCTTGTCGCGCGAAGCGTAAGTATTTTTCTAGTCTAGTCTAATATTATCACAATAGAAAATACTTCTTATATTGCAATACAAAAAGGTTTCATTTCCTTCAGCTATACTTGTTTATCATTAGCATTAGATTCTTCTTCTAAAAGTGAATCCTGGCCACCAGTCGCATCAAAGCCTTCCCACATGCTTAGAAACCTTCATTGTAAGTCATGTAGATCCAAATTCCAAACACCTCGTAAAGATGGCGCTATGAGTCTGTAGAATCGTATTGCGCAACTTCTCGATTTATAATTATGTACTATCTGTGAGTCGTATCGATAATTAATTATTTCTTTTTGGTTTTTTGGAAGAGGTGACTCGGTCGGTGCCGCTAATTAATTAATTGCAAGGACGTGAGTAATAGAACAATTTGGTAAGTGGATGGATATGCTATTGGAATGTTTTAATATTTTATTGAATACTAAAATGGTATTTTAAAGTGTAAGATACTTATATTTTATGACTGCAGTTTTATACAATGACTTTTATTTACGTACCGATGATTGCTACTACTGGTAATTTTATTTCCAACCCAGGGAAGTATTTATTGATGTGAATGAATATAGAAATCACTCACTAGCAATGTGACTTTTTATTCCTATTAAATAAGTAGAAACAAACCGGATTAGCAAACCTTACTAAAAACACTGAAATACATTGAGTAGCTCAATTTTTTGCTTTTCTTAAGAATACCTAAGTCGTATGGTAGTGAATTTTCGAAAAACTATGAATGCAGTTCTCTTTCTTCTCAAAAATAAAGGAATGTTTTCTTTCTGTAAAATTTTCTATCTACAGTATTAAGAGTACTTTTCCTCCAGGTGGCACCAACTTATTTTGACCGTAACTATGACGATAACCGGTGATTTTTGTATGGATTTGACAGATTTTTTACGTTTGGCAAAACATGTAAAAGCGTGGTTGACGAATGTGGCGTGCTCGACGAAGTATCTGCCGTGGGCTGCGTCTGAGTTTGCTTATATTGAATAAACGTGAGTTGAATAGTGCGGTAGGGCTGCCACGCAACGGGAACGGGTTTTAGCGGAATAGATGCATACATAAAAACGTGTTTTTCAAACATCACGCCAAAACCCTCATTTGGCTTTGAACGAGGAAGACTGGACCTGGTACTAGTGTATGCTTTTTAATCAGTGTGACTTTGCAACCAAAATGTTAGTCTGGTAATAATGTACTTGAAAAATCTAAGAATATGTTTAAGCGAATGTCTCTGGATATAAATCTGATTGAAACCCATGAAGTTTTGGAAATAATCTGAATTACAACAATCTGTCTACCTTAAAAGGCTATCAAATGAATATGAAAGAAACTAGGTACCTAAGTAAAAAAAAAACCTACTTACATTACAGTTCTCATAATACATAGGTAGTAGTTATCACATAGCATTGTCTGTATGCCTATGTAGTTTATCTCAAATACCCAAAAGATAAGCGTAGCCAACCAATGTTTGCTTCAGTTGTACCTACCTAAATTGTTTTGTAGGGCGGAGCTTACGAAGGTATTATGCTTATCTCACTGTATTATAACAAAAGATCTACAAACACACTTGAAAAGGTCATGTTTACCTTTCTTAACTTTTTTTGAGACGCTTATCCTCAACTAAACTGATGTTCAACAATGGAATACTCTAATGATTTTGTTTACTTATTTTTATCAATCTTTTGCTGTTTTGTAAAATCGCTAATTTGTTTGTTTAAACCTCCATTCAAATAATAAAAGTTTTGTTTCGTTATCTGTTTTCAAGTTTATAAGCAAGCTTTTTGTATTTACTCTTCCCTAAAGTCGTTAGCATAGAATAGGAACGTGAATTCAAAAACAAGATAATTTAAAACAAAAACCCATTAAAATGTAAATAAAACTGAGGAACTAAAGTAAAATAATAAAATAGTGTTTCTTTCCTTGATTTAAATGATATTTTTGATATTAAGAAATAAATTGAATAAAGTGTATTAGTTTTGTACACATGGAAATTCCTATAATGGTATGTATTTAAATAGCTATCCATCTTTTAATTTCAGTAACCTAGTAGCACGTCCTTCAAGAATATTTATATTTCTATCGCTTTTGCTCCCATTCGGGTAAGATAATGCTGACTCAAACCACATGATTGATTAAGAAGAACGAACTCAAATACCACTAAAAAGTAACACAAATAATACCACTGGAAACGTAAAAAGTACTCTATAAAATTGGTGTTTTCTTTTCTATCTGAAAATATGTAATATTTACAAAAAAAAAATTAAAGTATGTTTATACCCGTTGTCTAGTATCCATAGGTAATACAAGCAATCCGTAGTTTGGTATTAGCAGCGCAGTATAAAATGTCCAAGGACATTTTTATTTTACCACCAGGAACTAAAGCGTAAAAAGTACTATACAGGGTGTTAGGTAAATGGGTATATGAGCCGACACTAGCCTATGTTAACATGGTCATATAAATGGTATGGTGAAGTCAGAAAATTGATATCTTCATTTTAATTATTTTATTTTTCATAGAAATCGTATTTTATAAAAATTATTTTGTATGAAAATTAAAAAAATAAAATGATGATATCAAATTTCTGACTTCACCATACCATTTATATGCCCATGTTAACATGGGCTAGTGTCGGCTCATATACCCATTTACCTAACACCCTGTATACAATACTGTCGCTCAGATACTGGGTCTAGACAAAGTGCATAATTTAATTGCAAACCAGTCGAAAAGCCTTTTTTTTTATTTAGAGTTTTGACGGATTCGATTTTCGATTCGATCAAAAAGTGCAACTTGTCTAGAGGGCTGTTTCCGCAAAATAATATCTCTAAAGCTACAACCCTAAGCGCCAGCCGCCGAGATCATCAATCATCGCCAAGACAATCACAACGCGCACATCTGCCGGCGCGACACCGCTCCACAATCCGCAACTTATACGGGAGTCGCAATCACGATTCACGGCGGATGGAAATGGAAGAATTTGATAATT